CTATTTATTGATAAAGCTGGTCAATGATACATATATGTTATTCATTCCTACAATCCATCAATTTAAAAATTATACACAAGCATAAGAAACTAATAAAGAAGAGGAATTCATGTTCTCAATGACCAAAAACAACAGAAACTTCTAATAATTATTCAACAAGAACGTAATTTCAACTATTGAACATTCTATACAAAATTTCAACCAAAGAGAAGAAAATGGGAAGAGAGGTTCACACGGTCCTAAACCGCCAGAAATTCTCAATCAATACTCACCGACACCACCATCTACCCTTCCTCCTCCGAATTCACCGACACCACTATTTTCCAACCGCCTCAGTTTGTACACCAACAAATTAAAAAACAGAGGCAAAACATAACCCAACAAATTTGATTTAGAATATCAAGCTAACAACAAAAGATTATCACAAGCAAAGAAATCTAGATTATCATATGCGAAACCTTGATATCAACAGCCCGTAGAGACGCCTTCGATTTGGCAAGACGAGCTCAATCCCGTAGAGAACCCTTCTATTCGACAGCACGAGCTCAATCCCGTAGAGAACCCTTCGATTCGATAGCACGAGCTCTGCTTGATTTGGGTTGTGTATTTCTGCGAGAGGAACTGATGACGGGAGGGGAGATCTGCTTGATTTGGGTTGTGGATTGATTACAGGAAGGAAGAGAGAGAGAGAGAGAGAGAGAGAGATGAAATGAGACGGAGAGCTGTTTCCCGTGTTTTGGCAGAATGCCGTATTTTGGGTTTAATTTTCCCAAAACGTTGTTTCAGCCATTTTCCATTTTCAGTGTAATTTTTTTTTTCATTTTCAAAAACACGTTTTTGAAAATAGGAAAGAGAACGCGTTTTCGCTGTTTCGAAAAATCGAAAACAGAAAACATCATGAAAATGGTAAAGAGAACATGCCCTTATGTTTTAAACTTTTTGTTCTTNGGCCCCTTATGTTTCCACCGCCGCAATCATGTACCTAAAATTTTGACCAAATATGATTTAGAATTCTAGTCCCGATCTCCAATTGAACACCGCAATTCATCATATTCATCCCATTTTTGTATATTTTGGATAGAATAATAAATGATAAAGAAAATTATAATTATTAGGATTTTGATTTTTTTACCCTCTAATTTACTTTATTAAGTAAAAAAAAAAATTTCTTGTAAATTATAAGCTGTGAGTCTTAAGAAAATATATGAATAACATGTCAATTGTAATTATGAATCTTATAGAACGTATGAATTTTTATAAATTTAAGTTTTCTACATTAATATTTACTGCTAGAAGTATACATTAATCATCACTTTTTAATGGATGAATCTCAGAATATAAAAGCAAATCACATGCTTTAACCATTGTGGCTTAAAAGTTAAAATGGAAATGCTCAAGAGTAATTAATATATATATATATATATATATATAT